AGGGTAGTCGGTTGAGATCTCTGGAGAAAAGATGGTTTAGTTGGCCAAATAATTTTGAGCAATGCCTAACATTATCTTCCTTCTGGAATATTGGCATGTCCAAGGCTCTGAGAACTTTTGCAAGAAGGAAACCATTGAACAGTACTTAACTTCGTACTATAGTACTAATAGTACTTAACTTAGTGCTTAGTGTTTTCTAAATTTATATGACCAAGAAAAACTTTTTAAAAGAACTATCTAATAACATTCTGTGAAATGTATTCTAAAGAACACACCTTGTGAAATAGCTTTAAGCACCAATTAAGATCCTGGACCATTACCCTAGAGATGATGGTAGATATTTTTCTGTATTTGTTGAAAGGCCAAAGACAGCTTTTTCTGATCACTCAAGAAAGGAAGAAAAGCTTATTCTCACTAACTGGTCATTTTCATTGACAATGTCTCCCAACTCCTGCAAATTATGGATTCTTACTTCTTTTTAAATAGCTCCCATTACCATGTAGCATCAAAATGGTCTTAAAAGCATAGCTGACATCATATTGGGTCTACTTAAAAGGAATGCCTCCAAGAAATTGGTTGCAACTCCAAATCAGTGCTGTCAGCACAGGGTTAAATTTAAGATGGCTTATTTTTTCATTTGAGTTCAATTATTAATTAGCATCAAAATTTCTAACCAAAAACACTTGTTTTACAAAAGAATCTCCCAGAGCTTTCTTGAAATAATTTACTTTCAAATGAATGAACATCAGGATATTCAGGTATGTCTCACCATCATTTTGAGGTGTGAGGTAAGTAATGCATCATCAACAATGGTGAAAGTACAGAAGTTTGTCACTCACTTTTAAAAAATCAGTGCTATTTGAATGTCATCCCTATAACAGCATTACTCTCCCTCACTTGTATTCCAATATAGTTTCTAAAATGTGAGAGGAAGAGGTGGACTAGTTAATCTTGAGATGATATGTCTGTGGTATGTGCCTATTACTAATATTCTATTAATAGTAAGACTGATTTTTAATTTATTCCTGAGCAGAAACAGGAAAAAAATGAAAAGGGATTGCAAAATCTGGGGTGGCCCTTAATCGTGTACCCATTTGTGCATATACCAAACCATCTGCCATCTAGACCATGACTAAAAGCAACTGACAAAAAGTGAGCCTTGTTGGTCCACTTAATATATGCTTCAATTTAAAGGAAAAAATATATTTTTTTCACATAGCTCTTAAAGATTCAAAGAACTGTACAAAGCAAAGTGAGCTTATGTGGTACTTAATGAAAATGTTCTGTTTTTGAGTATATCTGGGGGAGAGGTGGTGGTGGCTCTGAACAGATTCCAAAAAGTTACCAGTTCTCAATAAAGAGTTGCAGTTAACAGGCTGCCCTAATTTTGCCAGAAAGCAATACAGTGCTGTTCTCTAAGTAGGAAATATAAATGTGTGTTGCATTCACACCCATTTAAAATGCTGCCCTTGGTTTATAACAGCCTGTTTTGAGGTCACAAAAGTGAAAGCCATCAACCATGGTGGATCATAGGTCAATGTTTAACAAACATTTAACAAATCACAACTAAAGTTTGAATCTTTGTGGAAGCGTGAAATGGATGAAAGATTCTTGTCACCTCTAACTTCTGGCCAGGCATTCTTTGTATCCACTTTTTAAAAGTCCATTTCAATACCAGGCTGGAGTTAAAGGAAACCTGCCTGTTCATGGCACTTCCAAGGTGAAAATGAAAAATTCTGATAAAGCTCATAGCCTTGAGGAAAATTTCAAGTGGCTTATTGCCTTAGTTTTCTCTTATTTCACTTATTCATTATCAGACAGAATTGAAGGACAGATTCTGCCTTTTGCTCTATAGGCTAACTTCTATTCTCTGTGGAGACCATAGCTGGTTACTTAAGTATTTCGCCACCCATTTATCTGTGTAGCCCTTGATTTAATGGACTCGAGATCTGCAAAGCACATTCCATGAAAGACGTCTGTACGTCGACTGATGGGATGTGTGGGTGTACACAAAGTATACAAAGAGAAAAGTTACTCTTCTGCATGCAATGAACCAAATTATCCCCATTCCTTTACAGGAGAGGTTTTTTTCCTTCTTCCTTTTATTTCTTTTCACAGTTTGAATAATGTTTAGCTGAGATTTCAGGTTTTTCTTGGTTTGCAGTAGGATCCGACAGGTGTGGAAAAGGGCCACATGCCCATGGTCAGGGCATCACTTTTGAGATCCCTGCCCCTCCTCACACCCATTTATCTATGGCTATGGATGCCTTGTCACTGGCCCCAATTCCACAGTAGGACTCATAAAGCTGGCAACGTTAAGACCAAAATAATGTCATTTAGTGTCTAGGGGGAGGTTACAAAGAGGATTAGAGGCAGGCAGGCAAGCAGGGTATATTAAATAAGTCCATGACTAACAGGGTATGACAGAAAAGGGTTTTATTCTTTTCAACAGAACAGTTCCCTAGGACTGGGACCATTACTCCACTGTGCCTTTATCAGGCTGGAATTTTTATGGTTATTTTTGATTAATTCACATTTTTGTAAAGGCTTTTTTGAAATGATGCCAGTTTTCAATTTTTAATTAAAGTCATAAATAATCTTAATTCTACCTTAAAAGGTTTATTGTTTCTTTTTTTTTTTTTTATTGCTGCCAGGAAATATTTCAAATACCAAGTCCTGATGCGAGTGAGCAATTAGATTCTCTCCAAGGTCTAGTAACAACATTGTATCATGTAAATATTACACACTGGTATATCAGCACAAGATCTGAAAATGTGGATTGACTAGTTTCAGCTTTATTAGGAACTGCTTCTCCTGGGAGTGACATTTCCTCTTTTTGTTGGATGGAGCAACTTTCATCATTTTAATTTTCACAAATTAATCCATCATGGATTCATAAAGAATTTCTATAATCTTTGGATAAAAAGCAGGCTAAAATTTGGAAATACATCACTAAGGGCTGGGCAATGCAAGTCAACAAGTCAATGAAACAAATTCAACCACTTGCAGAAAACAGTGACCATGAAATGCTAATCTATTTGAGAGACAATATCTCCTTGTACCTAAGACAAAATTAAGAGAACACTGCAATATTTGACATGAGAGTATAATACTGCTCCTTAAAAGTATGCCCTTGTTTATTTAGATTGCTTGTTAAAGGCTGTCTCCAAATTGTCAATAAAATAATAGTTTGTAGTCTCAATATCTGGTTTTATTTTTTCAGGCGGTGCTTCAAGAATCGTCCACACAATCAAAAGTACTGTTTCTTTATATAAAGGCTGAAACACGTCATGTTTGAACAGAAACCATTAATAATTGCTGAAAATATTCCCTATTATGTTTCCAAACCTGTCAACCTAGGTTATCTTCTTAACTTGAACATCACAGCGTTGTTTATTTGTCTAGATAGGGGACCTATACTCTTTCATGTCCATGACAGTTGTTAATCACTACAAGGATACTCTCCGATGTTATTGATAGATTTACTATTACAATAAAACCTTACACATTCGGACAACTTGGAGGCAGAAAATGGTCAGACTTAGTGGGGAAAAACTCTCATCTAGAAGGTTTTTTTTTTTTAATCATTACTTCAAATTTATAAGGTATATATAGATGATGACAAAAACAATAGACAGTGGTCCTGCTGAAAGTAGTTAATAGTACACAAAAAGGGTGTGTTATTTTAAGAAGATTGAGCACACCCTTTCTAACTTATTTACATTATCAATTAGCAGTTCCTTTGCTTTTCTGAAATACAGGAATATATTCAGTGTCTGTCTAATGATCACCGATATCAATTTCCTGGGATTCCAATTAAAGAGATTTAACTATATTTCTGGTAAATTATTTTAACAATTAACTTACAAGAGTGGGTTTGTATGCAATTACGACTATCTATCAAATCCCCCTGACTGAGCATTTTTCTAACTCACAGGGAAAGGTCAAATTCTTTCCATATATGCACCCTCAGCTGGCATTGTGCTAATACCTCTCAAGGAAGAAAAAAAAAATCTCAAGTAACAAAAAGACTATAGAGAATTTCCCAACATAAAAGTGTTAAATCCCTATAAACCATGAAAGAATGCAAGATTTCTAAGTAGAAGCCACGGTGACCTGAAAACCCTTGCCATGGGGTTCAATCACTTGAAATACGTTGAGTCTTAAAACTGCCCTTAAATTTGCTACAAAGGGCCCTTAAATGAATCAGGCACCTATCTCAATACTGATGAAACACTCAAAAACCCAAGGTCAGCTCAACATGCTTTCTGCCATGAATAGAAGATACTCTCACTGGTCCAAAAATTTAAAAACTTGGTTATTAGGAAATGCCTTGAAAGGTAGTAAGCTCTCTGTCTCTGGAGGGGTTGAAGCACAGTACAGCCAACCACTTGCTAGACATCTTATGGAGTTAGAACAAATCTAAGATATTCTTATTTTTATGAACTTTGAAAATGCATTAACCCCTCATTAATGTCAAAGTGATTTTAAGTTCAATTCCTTTTTCAGATTTTCATAAAAATCCAGAAATCTGCTTTTTTCTCTAAGCTTAAAGAATGCTCTCTACTTGTCCTAGAGACTTACTTACCTTCTTCATTAGAGCTTTATGATTTTGGCCAATTGATATTTTATGAAAAAGTACTTCTTTCTAGAGAAAACGTCTGTGGCATTGTTTTTCCCAATTCAATTTTCTTTCGCTATCTGAACTTAACTTTAACTTCCATAAAAGCTTTTATGTTGCCTTCCAGTTTAAGGGACTTTCACTACTTTTCTCTGATTCCTATTATACAAGCTTTCCCCAGAAATTTGCAGAGCTATACCAACTATGCAAAGCATAGCCTTGCTATTGCTTCATGGGAGACTTACCTCCTCAAATGGTCTATAAAGCAGGTTACACCATGAGAAGTATAAGAATTTCAAGCACCCTACAGAAGTTCTGTGCATGGAAATAATAATTTAAACATGCTTTTCCTGGCTGGAAAATTCTCTTTTAAAATTACCTTTTTTCTTGCTTGATGATCTTTGGAAGAATGTGCCTTCACATGCTTTCTTAGGGAACTTGGGTCTGTGTAGCGTTTGGTACATCCTGGAATTTGACAAGCATAAGGTTTCTAAATGAGAAAGAAAGAAAGAAACAGCTGTGGTTAAATCATAAAGGTAACTGGGGAATGTTTTACTCAAAGACTATTGACTTCAGAGCATGAACTGTTACCAACTGACTAATGTGAAATGCTGGCTAACACTCATGCATTTTAATTACAAAGTCTAGCAACTTTGCATGATGGTAAAGAGAAGGGTAAACTTTCAAGGAACAAAGAGATGCCCTATCCTTGATGATTTCTAAGAGATTGCTTTAGTGTGCACTCTAACCACAAAACCTCTTGCGGCATTTTTTAATGTGGAAATTATTAATAAGCATCTCCAGTCATACTTACAGTTATGTTTCCCTGAGAATAATCTTTGGTACTGTCAGAAACTAGTAAACACATATTCTTTAAGGGTTCAGGTAAAGAAGCTGTAGAAAAGTCCAGAAAAAAACTGGGTATTTTTCAGAAGAAACCTGATTCAGAAAGAGAGAGGGAGAGAATTAAGAAGAGAAAATTAGTGTAAAGTGAGTAAGAGACAGTAGGTTTCAAACGGACATGTGAAAAATCATCCAGAGAAGCATTAATAATATTAGTTGCAGAGGAGTCCAGGTAGTAAGCCTGAGTTAATTGAATAAGCTCTTGATGGAGTGCAATCAGAACACACATTTTGGCTATTCCGATTCCCCCCATGCTCCTGAAAGATGTGAGGTGTGTGCTTAAAGCTGAGTCTAGGCTATGCTTTTGTTTTTTTAAGATGTTGTTTTGTTCTTGTTGCCCAGGCTTGAGTGCAGCAGCTTGATCTCCACTCACTGCAACCTCTGCCTCCTGGATTCAAGGGATTTCCCCTGCCTCAGCCTCCCGAGTAGCTGGGACTAAAGGCGTGTGCCACCCCCTCCGGCCTTTTTTATTTTTGTATTCCTCGTCCTTGGTACAAAATAGAAATGAATGAATAAGAGCAACTCATATCCATTCACATTTCAGCACCTATTCCTACTGTTATGATCCTTAAACTCATCAAAGGTTTGAGACTATGACTCGTCAGTTGTGAGATAAATCAAAATCTTCTGCTTATTTCAAGAAATGAAAAATTAAAAATCACATAATTAACTATGTTCATAACATATATTAATAGTAACTGGTCTGCTTAGTGTCTCCTCAGGTAAGGTATTTGAGCTGCGCTTGTATAATGTGAAATGTAAAGAAGAGACCTGAAAGCCTATCTTGGGATTCTTGCTCTAGAAACTTGCTATAGTTTTAAAATATATATATCTAATTTCTTTTTAATGTTGCTTCTGTTTTTATATGCATGTGTGTCACTCTGTGGGCCAAGAAATAAGTGGATTATATCATTTTACCTATTAGAAGCCATATTTATGGTTCACTCCATTTTTGTGTCTTTTTTGATTCTAAGAACAAGGTAAAATCATGAATATATAATTTAATTTGGGAAACTAAACTTGAATACTGTGTTTGATATCTGCTATGTTCATTGACTATTTGACTGGTTGGTTGAATCATTCCAAAGTACAATCCCAGGATGTGCTGGGCACTGTGCTTCAGATTAGGGATTTTAAGGTGAACAACGGATAAACCAGCTTCTCCATACCTCATGGCTTCCACAAAATAGTGAGCTTATTATTGGCTAAAGTCACTTGCCAATTAGTTTCTATTGAGCAAGCAAAGGTTTTCTTTAACTTGGGAATCTTTTCCGAATTCACATAGCCTTCTTGCACTAGCCTTCCCTACCCTGCGTTGGCCTCAGGGGTACAACTAGCTAAGATCTTTGCTGGCAATCCCATTGTGAAAGCTTCTGCTTTGAGCATTAGAGGAGATGTTGCATGTACAAAAGGCTTAATGACTATTAAGAAGTTACATAAATTGATGCCATTATTATTACCATGATTACTAGAATTTAGGTTGGTGATGTCATTTTCTATTTGATTTTGAGATGTTCTAGAGAAAGCTTGACTACACACCCACTTTTCCTCTCAGCTGACCTTCATTTTCTTCTCTTGTTGTCAGCCACCAGGATGGAACTGGTATGCCAAAATAGCAATGTCAGGTACTGGGTTAAGTAGTACTGCTGCAGCTGTCATTTTATCTCAGGTTACCTAAGCTTTAACTAGCATGCTACACTTCATCCAACCATATATTTTGTATTTTCCACCTGTACTGTATGATTACTTTCCCTGTTTAGATACTGAGTTTCTAATAGAGAAATTAATTAATACAACTTTTAAGGGTTAGAATTAAGAACTCAATAATCTTTATGGGAAGGTGACTTTTTATACTAATAAAGCATCCAATCCACTTAGTTGAAGAAAGATACTTTAACTAAAATTCTGACAGCATTAGCATAAGGAGTACTTAATGAAAAGGAATAAGAACTTAAATTTAAATAATAAATTCTTCAAGCAAGTACAGTTTGTTTTTTAAAACAAGTGTGTGATATCTATAAGCTCTTAAAAGAGCTTACTAATTTGTTAAATGTAGTAAAAATTTAAACAGGAGCTAGTTTGGAGCTTAAAGGAAGAACAATGGTTTAAAAATATTTAGTAGAGAAATAGTTTTTCCAAAAAAAAAGTAGCTGAGTTTTTAAAAGCAATTCCATTGAATAAAAATCAGGAAATTATTGTATTAGGTAGCTATCCCCAAAAGTTTTTAACAAAGATATAGATTTTTATTCCAAAATGATTTCTGAAAATGCTCTTAGTTTGATTAGCTAAAATTAGCTCCAAGCAAAGGAGGGCAGTGCAGAACCGTAACACTTAGCCTCACAATAGTCTTTCAAACTACAGATAACTAGCTGGAGTAGAAGCAATTTCTCAAGACAATCTTGTCTCATAAATGTTCATTCTTCCATGATAAAGGTTAATGACAAATTGGAAAATTTATTGGTTCCTACCAAGACCATTTTAGCACAAGAAAATAGGGCATTTTAACACAATTTATTATTTTTTTTCTTTTTCTACTTAAAAAAAATCCCACTATTCACCACATTTATTTATATAGTATTCTATTATTCTATTGGTCCCAAAATCACTGAATTCAGGTAGAGTAGAAACTGGGTCCATCCTACACCCTTGTTTCTCTAATTATATTTGAGATATTCACTAGGCAAATCATCACATTTATGCATATTAGGGGATAATTCTGTTTAGAAAAGTTATGTGACATATAGCTAAAATGACTTCTATCGATATGACTAATAGAGACTAATATAAAATTTAATAAATATGTCAACTATAACATCAGAAGAATCTTAAATATGTATGAGAAGGTATGTAGAAATAACAGTATCTTTTCAAAATTCAAACTCTGGTGTAGTTTAATAATAGATATCAGAATGTTGGCACCGAAAAAGTACTGTCATGAATACATTATTTGCAGGAACGTGGGATAAGAGATCTGTGATGTGTATAATACACTTACCCTGATGGCTTTGTTAAGTGAAGTGAAATTACCTAGAGTCTATCTGGCCTAGTGTAAGGAAAATGGCATCAAAGCCTTGGAAATGCAAAGGAGGGCTATCAATGTAATTGAGAAAATAAAAGACAAGAATCATAGAAAAGGCATTTGGGAATGAGCAAAATGTAGCGTTAAGGGAGTTAAGGGTGTCATAATGAAAATCAATTGTTCTCATAGGGTTGATGTCAAAGAATATGTGGCTGTTAACAGATAGGAAGCATGAAGAAACTGAACTCTTGGGAAAGAATTGCTTTCTTCTTAGATCAGTTGAAGGTGGAAATACCAGGTGGATTCTAAAGCAAAGGGCCAAATTCACTCTCGAAAATCATTCCAGCCACAAAGTTCTTATGTCAAGAGGAAAAGAACCAGGGTATTAAAAAAAAAACAAAGAAAAAAAAACCAAAAACTGCTTCATATTCCTAGCAATAGCATGCATTACCGACTTGATATCTGAATACTGAGTTTAATGCCAGTCTCTACTGATCACTCTGTGTACTAAAATCTGCTACAGGACAGCCCCTAAACTGCGTTTGCTTTGTACATAGCAGTGACCGAGTAACCCTTTTGTCCCAGGAGGTTGTAATATTTAGAATAACCTGCTACTACAGAAAAATGAAACAGCCAAATAGGGCCCCATCTGGCCTTTTACTAGACTCCATTGCCGCCCTTGGCATTGTCCCTGTAACCTGCAGACCGTAAAGCAAATATTTCACCAGCCCACTGTCAAGCAGGTACTTCCTCACGCTGGGCTCTGGGCTGGGAAGTGCAAACTCCTGCCATTCTTACAGTGTCCAGATGCGTCCGCTGGTGTTTGGCGCGGTCGCTGGAGTTACTGAAGGCCTTCTGACAACCCGGATGCTGGCACAAATAGGGCTTCTCGCCTGTGTGGCTCCGCAAGTGGATCTTGAGATTTTCAAGCCTTGAAAAGGCCTTCTTGCAACCTTCAAACTGCAAAAAGAAAACAATTTTTGGTTGTTGAGAAGAACCTTGAATATTTGAGTCTAGGGGAAAGGAAAAATAATGTCCTTCGTTTCTACGTTGCCTAAAATGATAAAATAAAATCAAACCCAAATAGTAATAAATATTGCTTCTAAAAATATCCAAATGTTTATGTGAAGTGCATTTTTCCACTGAATATAGATGCCACTTTCTGTACCAGATTTGGGTCCCAAACTTATTTCTGTGATTACTTATGTCAGAGAAAATTCACTGTGAGCCATCTGGCTCTGTTAATAAAAAAAACAGTCATGTGTGTCTTAAAGATGTATTGAGAATTAACACAGTTTTCCATTTCCAAATTGGTCTAAATTGAAGGAAGTGGAAAGGAAGAAACTTTTTGACAAATAATAAACTAATAAAAAATCAGAGTGATATATGAGAAAAAGGAGAATTGAAGATCCGTGAGTCCAGGATGAAAAAGGCATGTGTACATTAGATCAAAATGACCATAAATTTCCTTAACTGTATTTGTAAGTTTTTTCCAACTCTCAAAAGAGTGACCATGTTAACATATACGGTAATGCCAAGACTAACGAGATAAAGTTTTTAACACGTTTTATAAAAGAAACTAAAAGACAATTCATTTAGTGTAAAACCATTTTCCAAATAAAGTACTGTAATATTCTAATATTTGTTTTATTTTTTAAACATTTTGTTATCTAATTCATGAGGAAAAGAAGATGAAAGGCTTAAGATTTCAATAAATGTGTCCACTGGTTTGTCAATAACATTTATTGACAGTAACATTTACTTAATGTCTTCTAAGGACAAAATATCAGCTACTGTTAATAGGGTCAAACTTTGGAGTAACGATCTAATAAAGAGAACGTATTGGAGAAGTCCTATAAATGAAGCATAAAGGTGAGATGGGGATTTATCTTTCAACTCTCTCTTTGGTGCGAAACCCCAGAAAATTTATGTTACTTAGACAGTTTTAATCCCATTTGAGTTCCCACTGGAAGGGAAACTGAGAAATATGGAAAACCTACCAGAATGAAGCATAATACATTTAAAGCAATTAAGAAGACTCACATCTTGATAGAGGAATGCAGGGGGGTGAGGGTGGGTAAGGAAGGAAAGTAAGTTCCATATGGTTTCCATTCAAAATTAGCAGGTATGAATTAAACTTGCTACAAGAAATTTTATAAAACTCTCTGGTTTTCTTACTATAATAGATGGTAGAGGACACTGTTCACAACAGAACGACCTAGAACTGGCCAAGTTTTGGTTATTGGAATTTTCATCTTTAAGAAAAGGATGAACTAAGTAAAAAAAAATAATTAAACATGTCATAACTCCATCTATTTAAGTTGTCCAGATTTTGCATGCTGGGGTATTTTAAGAAATTTATGAAAGTTGCACTTATTTTTGATTGAGAGTTATACATGTTTCACAGACATATGTTGGTTTATTTCAATTTTGATATTTTGCTTAAAATAATTTTGGTGTTTTCCTGATTTCTATTTCACATAAAAATAAATTTAGCCTGAACAGAAGATGAATGCTGACAAAGCCAACTACTTTTTCAGCAGAGTAAAAGGAAACGTCACTAGAGGGAGAGAGGAGTGAGGGGGCTCATTTCTGCAGGTTTTCAAGTGACTCTAAAATTTAAGAATAAAGGGAATCAAAATTAACCCTCAACTCATAGCTAAGAGGCCTCTGCTGACCAAACCTCTGTTTTTAGGGTTCTCTTTGAATGACAACTCAGAGAAAACTCTTGGAGCTCAGTTTATTTGACTTGGAATCACCTGGTGGACCACACTTAGGTCTGAAATGAGCTTGTGGTTTTAGACACGCCAAGTCTGTAGCCTAGTTTCTAGCAAGGCTCTTTTGTAGGGTGGATTCCATTTTGGGGCCAGCTCCAGGGCCGCATTCCCAAACCTGAGTAGGCCCCACATCCACTCTGGTCCACAGTCACCCCGATCTTGGTCTGAGAGAAAGCTGCATTGTTTCAGCAGCAGGATGAGAGTGAAGAACTACTTCAGAATAAGCTGTGAGTATAGGATAAAACAAGATCCCTAGTTCTACTACAGAGGGATCATAAGGATCCAAGACATGTCTCTGATGAATTCAAACTGTTCACTTGATACAATATAAACTATATGTAAGAATACCATTTCCAAGTTCTTTCCAGCTAAATGTCCACTTAAATATTCAGTTAAAAGTAAAATAATTGCTATGATTACTATTAACAGAAGTGATAATCAAAGACCAAAGGGCTTATTGTATTCCAAGCAAATCATTGCAAAATGAACAATATCTCACGACATTTTGACCATTTTCTTCCTTTTTTTATTTTGAGACAGGGTCTTACTCTGTCATCCAGGCTGGAGTGCAGTGGCGCATTCTCGGCTCACTGCAACCTCCGACTCCCTGGTTCAAGTGATTCTCCTGCCTCAGCCTCCTGAGTACCTGGGATCACAGGCACACGCCACCACACCTAGCTAATTTTTTTGTATTTTTAGTAGAGAAGGGGTTTCACCATGTTGGCCGGGATGGTCTCGATCTACTGACCTCGGGATCCGCCCACCCTGGCCTCCCAAAGTGCTGGGATTCATCCTGACCATTTCCAAATAGCAAGGATAGAAGAAAAATAGGCACCCAGACTGAAAATGACAACAAAAAAGATTATGTGTAAAATAATCAAAATCTAGCTAATATCAGATGCTTCCTCTGTAACAAGAAAAGGCAGAAGACCATAGAATAGCATTACAATATTCTCAGGGGAAAAGATTATGAATGAAGGGTTTGACCTCATTATGTTGTATGAATAAAGGCAAAAGAAAGGCAATTTCATATAGTCAGGGGCTCATAACATAACAACACCAGCTCACTCTTGTTGACAAAATTCACTTGCTTGAACCACAGAACCTAAGACCAGTAAAATCAGGCACTAAAGGATTAATAAATGACTTAGCGAGGTGCCAAATATCCAGCTCATCACAGGAGTGTCCAGGGCACCACACCTGAATGAACTTGTCACACTGACAATTCTGCAAAAAGAGAAAGGAGGTGCTGTTCATTTCTCTAACAGCATCTGGATGAAACTTGAAAGCAAACAATTTTATCATGAATCATTATCATTTATTATGGGAACAACCCTGTAATTCATCACAAGAATTTCCCCTCCCTTGGACAGTTTTACCCCTAGATTTATAAGTTCAATTAAATGCAAATGCATTAAAAATAAAACATTTAGGTAGGCTTATAAAAGATTATTATGAAATACAACAAAATTGGATTCTTTGGCTGTCTGAGCAAATGGATGCCTTTTATCCTTATTTTTTTCACGTTTTCCAAATCTTTCATGAGTGAGCATGTCTCACCTTGTAAATGGACATCTAAGCTTAGGGAAGCAAGGACCATTAGGAGTGTTTCCTTGGGTTTGGCCAGATGCAGAGGCTTTCTCACTGAGGTTCCTAAAGTTCAAGTTCATGCTGAAACCTAAGGTCCACATTGTCAACTGACTGCTTGCATCACTGCCACTGGACAACTCCTACTCAGCTTTCTGGGCTAGCTGTAGACCATGAGCCCAGGACTCAGTGATACACGACTGAATTATCAGGCCAAAGTTTGTCCAAGGTTCAAAAACAGGCTACATACAGAAAAACAAGAGAAACACCAACCAACAAACAAACCCTCAGAATCTAAGGGGGAAACAGAAAGTGGCTGAATAGACCATAAGTGGGACAAATGCAGGGTGAACGTGTAGGGAGCAGCAGTGGTGGAAAAGAGGCCTGGTGTGCATTGAGGACTTATTTCCATACCAAGTTTCTTGCTAGAAAATTTCCCCTATGTTAGTGATTTTATCTAAATAGCATTATTTTTCCCCAACAAATACTGAGTAAGCCCTATGGGCATGGAAGCAAGGTCAATATATACAGCTGGGCAGGTTACATGCTGATGCACCCCTGAGGAGTGGTTCTCAAAGAGGTCCCTAGACCAGCAACATTGGCATCACCTGGGAACTTGTCAGAAATACAAATTCTCTGGCCCCATCCTAGACCTATAGAATAGTATATAGACTTACATTTATGGGTTTTGAAAATACTGCATTGCATGAAGCCTTACTTTGAGAAAAATTTCCATTAGAGGCTTTTGTGTAAGGGTCTAAAAAGGAAAGCCATCTGACTGCTAACAAGCCCTGAAGAAGATTTGGATATTCTGATGAACACTGCCACAGTGTGAGCAGGTGAGTTAGGAAATGCCATTCATACTGTGATCACTGTCCATTTATGATGAAAATCTTGTGACAAAAGTCAAGTGTTGTGCAGAATTTACCCATTTCTAATTCAGACAAGAGTTGCATGGACTAGTGTAGCAGCAACCATCCTAGGATGGAAAAGTCATCTCCATTACAGAGCAGGGCAAAAAGCACAGTCTCAGAATCTCCATCTCTTACTGGAGACTCTTTAAATTCCCAGCTTTTTAATTTGCTAGCAGGCAGGCATCTGGTTCTGAAATAGGTGTGCCTACAAGTTTCCTCAGTGGCCTCCTGACCAATAAAACATCCCAAATTTCTACTGCCCATTATATTCCACTGTTGAGAAAAAGCACAGAAGGGAAGCCATCATTTTCTATTTGCACATTTCAGTGGCTTTGCGGACACATATGGGAATGGTGCATGAAACTGTAAGTGACAGAACTTATACTCATGGGTTTTGAAAATACTACATTGCATGAAGCCTCACTTTGAGAAAAATTTCTTTAACTCTGAGGTTGTTTTCAAGTAACAAACTTTAATTAGAAAGTGTAAGTTATTGCAAACCTAAAGAACCTTAGCTTGTACCACTGTGCTAATTTAGATTATTTTATATTTAAAGAATCATAACTGGACTGTAATCACCATCTATATATATTGGCTTGATTACAGATTGTTGACATTAAGTGGCATTAAGAAGACCTTTGAAATATTACTTTCTCTTTCTATTAGAGGCTTTTGTGTAAGG